TGCTGCTATCCTCCCAAGTCTGATACTAATTTGCCGACTCCGAAGAGATGGAGGGCCTAGTGGGCTTGGAGTGCTGGGATTGGTCCCATGTTTGTTGCAAGGCGCCTCCGATCACTGCGCTACACATGCGCCTCGTCACAAATGATAACCACTGTTTATAGGAATGATCAATAACAAAGGATATGGGTAATATATTAGCATTCATTCGTCCACGCATTGTGTATTCCAGGCGAATTTCTCAACAACGCAATGACTTTACTACGCTTCAGAACGAAGTTTATACAGTCAATCGAGCAAACAGTGCTAACGGGGTGATCAAGTATAGAGAACATTCTCCACGAATATTGGAATGTTCTCTATGTAGAACAATTATAACCTTATGCCTTCTACAACACCTATCTATTCGTAATCGTCATACATCTATCCTTGCACATTCGGTAAATCATCTTTTAACAACCGAATCATGCAATTGCCTCGCAGGTGGCTGGAAAGGGAATCAGTAGGAGCCAGCTGAATGCACTTTTCAGCATCTGTCGTTCCAAAAAAGTCTCCGAACAGACACCTGCACCATTCCACATGCAACCCCTCTCTGGACGCCGCCTTCAGTTCTCTCTAGCAAAGCTCCACCCACTTCAGATGTAATACACGCAGCCCATAGGACTGGTCCTGAAATCTTAGCCGCGTTCGACCGGTCTGCTTCCGGTCCCTCAATTCCTTAGTGCTCCAACACCAGTGTCCGCGTTAATTCCTTCAAGTGTATCACTTGTTATCATTTCAATTCCGCCTTTATCCACCCAGCTTACATATCGCCGAATATCACTTGTTACCATCTCAATTCCATCTTTACCCACTCAGCTTACATATCGCCAAATCTCACACATTATTGTATTACCTATATCATCGTTGCATTAATTACACAGTTGCACCGTTATCCCAATCTCTTCAGTCACAAGCAACCTGAACACCAGTGATCAGGTTACGCCTACTCACAGCCCGTATCATTGTTGTATTAATTGTACAGTTGTATTGTTATGCCATAATTGTTGTGTTATTATGATAAACGGTTTAATTACCCAAGTTTGAGGTTTCCGGCATTGTGGCTGCTACTTACAAGAAGTCCCGCGTGGCATACACAAAGGCGAGCAGCAAACTCCGACCGAATCATCTTAACTACTTGGTATTCCTATATAATCTAGCCGTCCCACCATATCAAGAATGTTGCAACTCCTACGAATAAAAAATGAGAACTCATTTAGATGGGGATTCAGCAGCGCTGCATCCCAATTACCGCCAATAAAATTTCTCGGAAATGGTCCGTGAGCGAACTAACCTAGCTGAGAGTCTACCTAGCTAGAAAGTTTAGATGTCTATCAGAGAAAAACCAAGTTAAACCACTGAAATCTAGTAGTTCTACAAGAATTGAACTAGAGTACTTATTTAACTTAACTAACATGACTAATAACAGGAAACTGAAAACAACTAGTTGTAACTAAAGTTTTACTTCTCGTGTTAGATGAAAGTAGTCTCCTTTAGCTATAAAAAGAACACACTGCTATTCATCTTTATTACGCTTCATGATCTGTATAAAGGCATTACATATTGAAATGTGCATGGGATGAAAACAATAAGGAAAAGAACGTTCGAGCTCCAAGGAGTAGCTACTAAGGATTCCTAGCATAAAGAAAAAGTCCTGTGCCTTAATCAGAGTTTCGTAACAATGAAATCACAAACGATGAATATAGAAGTCCGCGGAACCTTCTTAATAGAATTCCTGAGATCTGCTGACGATATTCCGAGCGATTATGTCGACTGTCTTTCGGTGCATGACGACATGTGTGTAGGAGTTAAGGCATTGCGATAGCCAAACAGCTAGAAAATGCGCGCATGTGATTCTGTTTTTCCGCTTCAGCACCTGCTTCTGCAACATAGAAACCTCAACAAAAGGGAGCAGTGAAGCTCTGAACTGTCTTTCGAAAACGTCGGAATCTTTTCTTTCGCATTGAATATTGCAAAATCTAAACTTCCGAAACGTTTTCCCAATAAAAAAACACGACGAAATGTCAAACTGGCAAAAATGACGGAAATTTTTCCGATGAATGCCTCTCTCACCTGAAAATACTTACATGTACAGTAGTTCACATTTGGCAACAAGTAGTAGGAATTATATGTAGCCCTCCTAGGCATAACCTAAAACATTATAGTAAGAATGAAACTATATTACAAATGTAACTAAACATGTGCTAATTCACGACACCTCGAAGAAAAATAGAGACTTCGTTGATAAGTCGCTTAAATGAGAACTGGCTACGTCAGCTGTCGACGACGTTGAAGTGGTAGGAACAGATGAATTGCCACCGTCGCCCGTCGGAGCTATCTATAATGAAAAATTTGACAATGTGTGAACTATAACAGTTCGGTAATCCTGCTGCGCAAAGCAGCAGCTCTGTATACTTTCATCTACCCTTCCATTTACCTTCTCCAAAGAAGTAGAGTGATCACCTAAGGTGATGGTGATAGCAATCAGAATAAGAGCATCTTCAGAAGTGAGAAATAATAACAAAATGTATACCATAAAAGTATACTCTCATCTTCATTTGCACCTCCTAACCACCTTTAGATTCAGTTCTGATTCTTGCTGCATTTGTCCCAATGGGTCCAACTTCTGCATTGCAATTTAAAAAGCCCAAGTTTTGCGTGTATATTTCACCATTGTGGTTGCATTTCACGTAATAGCCTGCACTGAAAAATTACAGTGGGCAGTAGCTAAAGTCAGCCCAACCGGTCTACCGCCTCATCGTGACTGGAAGGTGGTTCCTGGGTATCGGGCTGCATGCACAGCGGGGATTCATCCCTACGGCAGCATCTCTCATGCTGAGGAGTCCGGCATTTCCATCAGGAAGCGCAGCTAAGAGTAAACCAATACCAAGATCCATCACAGTCCTGGTATCAAACTAGTCGCATGGTGGCAAATCTCCTTCCCATCCAGAAGAGCGGCGACTGCCTGTGGTGGACCTGTGGCAGACTTTGGCCAGGCTAATCTCAGGACTTCAGGCAAACACAATGGCTAAACCAGCAAAACTCCGTAATATGGAGAACATGCTTGGGCTCGCACAACCAGTCAGGATGGCCCGTCCAAGTATTCAAGTAGGTAGCTAATGTTGCCCAGTTAAGGTTAACTTTGTCTTATAATGTTATACACTTTCACTACAGCATATATAAGGTGATTCAACACGATGATCACACTACTTACTCAGACTTCGAATTGTATAAGTCCACATATCGAATTAATGGGTGCGTGTGGTGCAATGGTTGGAGGCGCCACTGCGACACATACGTGAAATCGATCTCCGCGCCCATGGCCCACCAAACCTTCTATCCCTCCTGGGTCGGCAAATTGATACCAAAATTGCTTGGGAGGATAGCAGCACTGGCTTGATACAACGGTAACCCACCGCGAGTCATTATAAAGGCCAGATATGCGCTCATTCACCTCCAACGATACTTAATGAAGTCGAATGCATAGCGCATCCTTCAGGAATTGTTCAACGCCCAGAGCTTTATCCTTTTTTATCGAATCAATAAAATAAATATCGAATTGCAGACGTCTACAAACGAATAGCAAGCGAAAATGTGGAACATATTTTTATGACGCCAAAAACTGTCATGCTGACCAACATTCTACGCAGTCATATCATCTGCATTTTCAAAGGCGTATCCGACTACAAATTCCTGCTTGTGAGGACCCATTAGCGATAACTATCATTCATTGTCCTTCTCGTCACGTATCACAACTTCCACAACAACTATTCAGGCAAAAACTATCACCTTCGTCATCCGTCGCTTCGACAATAATAGTTTCCCATGTGTTCTGCGATCTGCCTCAGCTTCTACAAGCCGAACTAGACCGGCTTCGTGCCAACGCACGGCCTCCAACATCGTGTTCTCGCCAACAATCCCCGCTAACTTTTCGAGGACAGGAAAGGTTAATTTGGTTAGGCCGCCGGCACGTTCCAATACAGCTTGAAGAGAATCAAGCAGCATTCTGAAACGATGAGCAGCCGCAAAACGAAGCCGTGATATTGGATGATGACGTCTGCGTCTAGTCATAGCAACGCTATGGAATTCTGAAAACTCATCGACAACTCATTGAATAAAACATAAGATGAGACTTACAACATCAGTGAGCAATGCATCAACGATACGTCTGAATAAGACGGTCTAAATTGCATGTCAAACAAATCCTCGCCTCATCAACGCTACACAATCCGGTATTCCAAGGTTTTATTATATTATATTGTTATTACCAGCAGTATACATATACTAGAAAAACAAAAATTTATCGCAAATCAGAAATCGCAATACAATACGAAAATTAGAATATAAAACTTAACCCTTATGTGGTACTACATGCAGAAAAACTTATGAGAAAGTAAGTATGAGCTAAGTTGTTATCGCTTAAGTGTACATATCAAGTAAGGGCTTCAATGAAAAGAAATCGCAGTTAAGTGCGTTATCGAATTACACCACATCAGATACACAAGTAACCAATTTTCCGTCGCGGAATGTGGTTTTGAATTGCTCTGGCACAGGAAACTCCATCTGTAATTGTACGCTGATCATAAAATACAGAAATCTCAATGTGTAAGAGCCAAGTGAAGACAAAGAAAGGTAAAGGGCAAAGCATTCAACGTGGATCAACTTCTGATGGATGCACCATGCATTCGACTTCATCACATATCGTACAGGATAAGCGAATGCACAACCCCCTATACAGTGAGTGTCTTACCGATGTCCAGGTCAGTGCTTTTGCTCTCCCAGATAAGTCTGGCATGAATTTGCCCACCGCGAAGGATGGAGGAGTTGATGCACCCAGGAGCAGGAAATCAAACTAACCATCAATCCCCATTGTACTACGAGTGAATAAGATGGTGAACAGAATCCAACATACGATTTCAATTAGAAGCTATTTTCGCCGTTATAATTATGAATTATTAACGAATTTAGAAACTAACAAAATCGCCATCTGGCCTTGGGATAAGCACATTCATCTCACTGGACTTGCTGGTAATGATCTCCGCATTCTTCGATATTTCACTGAGATATACCTGGCAGCCGTCAGTCTTCTGGATAGAAAGCGTAGGCATCTCACCCAATGTCTGGAATCAAGGTCGTCTGATTTAGCACCGATGAATAAGATCAAAAACTTTGAAAACCTGGATCTGAACGCTTTGGCAGTTGATTGTTTCACACTGAGTAACTAAGGCATCAAAAACAACAGATGTTTTACGACAGCTATCCAGTGTAATAGAGTTCAGCTTCCCGTTAATCTGAATCCATACAGCTTTGTGATAAAGAAAAACCACTAGTACCTACAATCACCTCAACAATGTATTTGAAACGGAAATTAACGCATCTTATTCAACCCTGAGTGCGATCAGGCCAACCAGATCAGTGAGAAAATAATCAGATGTGATACTCCTAATTCCTCAACAGACTCGAGCAAAGTGATTTGGATGGACGGCAAATGATTTCGATGAAAAACTTCGTATATAACACCTATGGCGGGAATTGAGATTACAAGAACTTACAGTTATCACAGAATCCTCGCACTTATAGACGTAAACTGTTTGCTTTTTATCAGTTATATTAATGACGACATTAGAATTTCCAACCACATACTCCTGAATAGTAGTTTCAAGTCAGACTTTAGTTGAAAACAACACTAGACCCAATAGCCTGAGAATAATTATATCGGAAGATGAAATCGCACTACTATTCAGTGGATACAAACCACATTCCATTGTTTGCCATCTTTCAGTTCGATGAGCGGTGGACGGTTGGACGACGGTGCACCTGCCACTGGCTTCGACTTTGGTTCTTTATTGCCCCGTAAATTTGAAACCTGGAATGCGATAATTGAAGTAGTATTAATTTCAAAGAGTATGAAAAATGTGCTCTAATTTATATCAACATGGACATTGGTCAGCAGAATAATGCAAAACCTTCACTGAAATTTAAATTCCGCAGATGATTGACGATAGCCATGTCTACGTTGAATTTGCTATCACTAGTTGTATAATATTTCATTAACTTAGGTAATGCGCAATTTTTAAAAATCCTCTTCATAATTTGATAAATCTTCCACACATAGTCGTTCAGGTGGAATTAAACAGAAATCGATTTTAAAAACCACCCTATTTAAGCTCCTCAATAAAAACATCTAGATTTCAAGGAGCAAAAAAATGTCTATGGCCATTATGACAGTAGCTATGGCAGTAAATAACTAGAATTAATTAACAATTTTCCATACTATCCACGACTCCACTATGACAATTACAAATAGAATAAAAGAAGACAAATGTTGAAAGTTTGCACCTAACAAAATTGAATTGAGCATTAACCTGTCCACGCAAAGCAGGGTTCTTGTGGGTTTGCATGTCAGCAGTAACTTTTTTAAGCCCAGCTGTAATAGCTTGTCCTTTGTTGATCTCGGCAAAAAGAGCATCCCTACCCGCTTTGCCATTTGCATCAATAGTGCAAGGAGTACTATCAGCAAAGAAAGCTGCAAAATGAACATATATTCCTATACAGAGAGCAAAAAGACGTAGAAATATGGATTTTACGAAGCCTTAATGAAACAAGACGCACAGGGTGGAGGTGGTGGTGGAGGAGGAACGGTATGTCCACCAGAAGTAGGATGATGCAACGCAGTAGACACTTGATTACACATTTCAGGAGGTGAACATCCCTGAACAAGAAGGGATCACCAAACAAAACAAAAATACCTTTGAAAATATTTGAACTTTACAGCAAAAAAGCACTCTGGAAATGTAGGAGCAGAACTCTTTTAAAAAAGGATAAAGAGAACGATAGAATGAAATTTCAACCATAATCATCATAATACTTGAATAAAGAACAATGACACACCGGTGCACTATTCCACACCAGACCAGTAGTATGTGTTTGACGAACAAACGTATGCATATCCTCGAGCACTTGCTTCCATAGCCGAGCCCACTCTACATTCCTTTGATCACCTTCCTGCTCGTTAACATCAATTAAGCTCCTAGTTTAGAAAATACATAGGAATGAGAAACCAAAAAAAACCTTGAATTCCTTCAGTATGCGATTAATGTAAAACATTGCCGATTCCAACATCTCCTTCACGTAAGGTGCTGGTGTTTTCTTCTGAAACAGAGTATAAAGATGGCAAAACTAAAGCTCGAGAATTCAACGCAACCCCATGAACTATTGTGTAAAAACAAACCACTAAAACCCATCCAACTGCTGGAATACCCTCCGCAACGGCACAAAGATGGTTGAACTGCGGTGTATTCCTCTTCGAATCCTAGACATATTCGGCATTATACCAAAGAAAGAAAGGACTAATAAGGAATAGCGTAACAAAAAGGAAGATCTCAGAAAACAGTACCTTGAATTTATTGATCTCCGATAAGAGATTTACAATGGGTGAAACCAATTTTTGGACCTCCTCAGATGATGGTTCAGGCCGGCTAGCAGCTGTCCACAAAAAAAATCGTAGAGAATTGAACACGACCGTCACCATCTCTCGCTGCAACAAGTTGCGCTTAATCATTACACTCTCAGACGCTATCGAATGGTTGACCAACCAAGATAGTGATATCTCCTCCAATCTGATCAGAAAGACTCGACCATCGCTCGACCACATCCGACAACGCACTATCGAAAGCTTTCACATGATGAGGAGCTTCAGCAGACACAACTGAAGAAGATCATTAACATGCAGGAATTTTACATGAACAAAAGATGTAAAAAAAATTTATAGGAGACTTGAGATGAAAAATTACCATTGCCATGGAGCAATCGGTCAAGCTCGTCTGAGTCGCACTGGAATACAACCTTTTTTGAAGCACGTGGGCCTCCTTCATGACTTTTAACAAGAATACCATGAGCTGGTGTTGCACCAATACGTTTAAAATTATTTGAAGTGTCAGGACGAGAACAGGACTGTGAATGAAAGTCAGGTTCGCATTCGTTATCACATGATGACATCGACGACCCTACGTTTCGATTAGAGGGAATACAGTTGTCCGAGAATGCAGCGAACGTTGGTTGAATGCTTGACCAAACACGCATTGGTCTGTTTTCGTCTACATTTGGAGAAGAATTTGGTTGTAAATGAAATACTGGATTAGTAAAATCATTAACATTTTGTAAAGATGCAAGTGGTGTTTGAGGTCGTGAAACAATAGCAAATGTTCTCTCTTTGGGATGATTCATTCTACTCTGAGTTTCCTTCGAGGTTCCATGGTCACAATGACCATTACCAAGGCTATTGTCTAAATTTCTAAATCCTGTGAATACTTTTGATTGGGTAGGGGCAAACACAATGTCCTCGCCAAGACCATTATTCCTTCTTTTGTATTCATGGTATGACGACCGAACAAAACGCGATTTTGCGTCACCCTCGATAGTCGCAACAGAAATATTTGAACCAGAAGATTTATTTTCATGCGAGAAAGACTGCTTCCGGCTATTTCGTCCAGACTTTGACACATTGGAATAACACTCCCCCTCGTTAGACGCAGGAGGTAAAACCTCCACATTTTTCCACTTACGAAGTGGCAATTGTGACTGAGCTATCCCCTCTGTTGAATACTGCACACCAGTCGGTACTTTACCGCCTGCCTCGTTATTTAGTATTTGCAATTCAGGTTCGACGAATGAGTAAGTCTGTTCTGGAATCAGCTGACTATCTCTAGATTTCAAAACCCTGTTTTCATCAAGTCTAGTATGAGACATTTCACAAGCGTCCGAATTCTTATCACACTTTGCCGTTGAAGTAAACACTGGTATATCATCGTTTCCTCGAAAAGCGAATGGAGGTGGAGGATCAGTTATCCAACTTGGACCTTTCTGATGCTTTGACGCGAAAAAACCTTCTTTAGGCGCTCTCCACTGGAGAGAGAGTCCTTGTCTTCCGCCTCTGTCGTATTGGCGACAATGTTCTTTCATAGCAGATGAAAAGTTCATTGTTGAAACATTTCGCGTAAGAGACATTCTAGGATCAAACTCTTGAAAAATGGATGAATCAGACTGTGTTTTGTGCAAATGTGATGGAGTAACTGCGAATGACTGAACGCAATCTTCTGTAGGAACTGAAGCCCTGTTTTCCCAAACTACGTTTGAGTAATTCCCTCTTGTCAGTGGATCAACTATTTCGTAAGAGTACAGCATACCACTTGCTAGTTGCTTCTCACCTTCGTGGTTCTCAATTTTTTCCTTTTGAAGTTGTAACCTTCTGAGAAATTGCTTAGAGTGGCAAGGGTCTACCATTAGTGATTGTCGTCGAAAAGAGGAAGGTTCACAGTTAGGATCATTTGCCTGAGAATTCCTCCATTTGTGAAAATTATCTGACGGAATTTCGTCATAAGAAGATATAGACTGGACTGGGGATGTTGGTAAAGAGAACTGGCTATTAACTTTTATCACAGGATCTGCGCTCCGGCGCCGATAATCGCTAGACGAAGCACAATTGTTCTTCATTTCAGTCAAGGTTGTATGGGAAAGGAGCATGGCAGCATCGTGGTACCTCGTATCAGTTTCGCTTTCAGATGGGTAAAGATTGAAGGTTGATCTCGCTTGTATACCACCTCTTCGATTCAGTGGTCGATAGCCCATCGGAAACCTATTGTACGGTCTAGGGGCATTCAAGAATAGTAGATCCATAGACGGAGCCTCATAAGGCAACAACTACAACTCGAACCACAGCAGAACAAATATCAACCTTTCCATTCCTGTTCGTCAACTGAAAAATGGAAACATTGCGCCTAAGGTACACGCGGTGATCTTTTCAAAATCATAAAACGAAAAAGGTGCTGCAGAGAATGGAAGACAAATAATGAAAGCGAACACCGAGAGAAGGACGATTATACATAGAGGAAACGACGTAGACATTGTTTAAAACACGAAAGGTGGGAGAGGTGAGGAGGAGATTCCGCGATAGCAACTGTTGGGTACGGATGTGCGCACTAGACTTCTCTCCTGTGGCTTATGATAAATGAATGAATCGTGACGAAACAAATCGTCCTCCACCTTATAACATCGACACTAAAAACACAGGATTCTGCTGAATGGAGCGATTATGCGAATATTTACCGAAAACTGATTGGTCATTTCGAGTAAATCAAGTTAGACCCACGAAAAAAGCTCATGTAACGAAGATAATACCGTTTAATTGATCTAGTAATAAGAAAACTTACATATAGTGGGAACCCTGAACAGAATATGGTTTTTCGAGCTGATACGCCGTCGAAGGGCCATGACTAAATGCTAGACGAAAGCGCTACGCTCACAACAACATCGGAAACGCAGTCGATACTACATGACTCATTCTTTCGCCTCCTTCGTGAATGTTATTTGCTTCGACTGGAAGGATACCAATCACACTTAGAAGGAGCTCCTCATTATGACGTAAAGAAATGAATTCCAGTAGCGCCCACTGCTAAGAACACGGAATATTCACCCTTTTTCAAAGTGAAGTGTAAATAATGCTACGACGGCAATTCATATCCAGTCTCAAGAAGATCATCAAGAGCTAATCGGGTTAAATCTGTACTTACCAGGTTCACCATCAGGCGTAGGCTTTGAATCACGCTGTGGGGTGGTCGGGTGGAGACACTCCAACTTTACGGCGACGGTTTCCAACCTCGACACCAGCTTAGCCAGGTCCTCCATAAGTGTCCAGATTCGCTCTAGCTTGCCTCTAGAAATGAAGGTAGAATGAAACGATAAAAAGTACGTGGAAACAGAATTTAACGCAAAGCATACGGAAACAGAAGTTAGAATAAGTTGAAGAAAGAGATAGTCATATGTTTTATTACAATATAGCCCATCCTTGCACACAACACGTAGCACACACTACGAAAAGTACAAAGGAATGAAGTACTAAGTACTTCTAGACGAGATCTCAGCGGCGAAAGGCAGAAAAGGACACAGTTGAAATAGAGCGCGAAATCTCCAATACGAGAGACAGCTTACACCACACCATTTTCAGTCAATAGTGTACATCCTCTGATGTGATTACGATAGCAAATTAGGTGTAATAAATAGGATATCCTAATTCCTGAAAATGTTCGTTTATCGCACTAATAAAAAGAAGTATGAAGCTCTCGGCGTTGATCAATCCCTGAAGAATGCGCCATGCATTCGATTTTGTTAAGCATCCTTGGAGGTGATTGATTGCATACCTGGCCTGTAGAACGACTCTTGGTGGCATACCGATATGTCGAACCAGTTCTGCTATCCTCCCATACAAGTCTGGTACCAATTTTTCCGACTCCGGATGGATGGAGGGTTTGGCGAGCCCTGGACACGGGGATCGATCCCACTTGTATTGCAAAGCTCCTCCGACCACTGCGCAAAACTACATGCAACATCGCATTAATATTTATTAACAATGTGAATATGAAGCTAAAGTTCAAACGGAAAGTACTATTAGTTATTAGCTGATCAGCACCACCTTCTCCAATAGTTCGTCATCCTACCTTGACTTAAGCAATGATCCAGAGTGCAGCACTGCATGTGAAAAAAAACCAAATGAGGATCCGCTCCTAGCAGGACCAGCAAAAGCGAAAAGGCATATTTGACGAGGAGACCAAGTGGTAAGCTACGAGTAAAACTTTGCTGTTTTGAGGTCCACCTGTCACCAAGGATGATAAAAATAAACGACTTCAAGCTGAAAAGATGATGCCTTTAGTGTCCTCTGACCACGTAAGATCCACTTGATAGTTCTGGAAGATGACGGTGATGAAAGGACGCTTCGTTGGCGAACAATCGTGTTGGGGAATAAGAGAAACAGGTAGAGGTGTTTGAGAACGAGACTCGATATCGGGCGAACCTGCCGAAAACAATCCAAAGTCGTATTCAGGAGTGCACACAACTAGTGGACAAGGAAACCACCAAGTCAATCTCGAACATGGATTGATTAGCAGTTCGCAAATATGTTCGTACTAGTGGCCAGTCATACGTACCTCACTACATGCATCATCACCCTCCCTCTTTGATAAGATTTCCCCGATGGTAGGCACTGCGTTCCGGAAAGCCCATGAAAGACACGATGTATTAAGTAATTTAGCATTAAACAGAAGCTAATAACAAACAATATGCTTAAAGTATGAAGTCTTCAAACTACTAACTACTCATCTACTAACTTCTGTGCCATATTTCCGCTTAAATGCGCTAAGAACTCAGGAAACCGTTAAGCTTGTATTGCCTGCTACGAATTTACTCAAGGAAGAAACATGAGGGATATATTAATCATGATATATTCTTTACTAGACGATTTTTGTCACGCACAATTCGTTCCATCTTCACCAACGTTTCAGAATTCCTCACTTACTTGCATGCGGCTTTAATTATTGAAATTACCACGTTTCTGTGATATCTCTAATGCGTCGAAAGCCTTTGTCGGCCTGAAAGACTCAGGCACGCCATACTTAACACCATTATAGTCGAGAAGGAGGAGGACGAGGAGACGCGGTATCGGGAGCTTCTAGAGTGTTGAACTACAATGCACAGTGGGGTGGTTCGGACCTCAGCATGACCTCCGAGACTTAAGAATCCGACATTTCTACAAAGAAACCCGGTTAAGCGCGTACAAATGCAAGACCTTTGTCCAAATAACAGCTTATTCGTAGGGCAGCTGAGCCCCCTTTAACTCAGAAAGGTGGGCTACCTGTCGAGTTAAATCCGACTAATTGGGGAAGACCTAGCATGACAACCTTGCAGGTCTATAAAAGTAAAATCCTGCCGATGCGTAACTCTCATTTTACAATGGTGAAAAGCTGGTGTTGGGAAAATAAACATTCTAGAAACGGCAGTGTTCTTATCGTCCATAAATAAAGCATTAAGGTCATCCGATGTTGATCAATCCCTTTGGGATTCCACTCATAAACCGGAATCCACTGAGCATCGTAGATGTGATTGAGTGCATAGCTTGCCCATACAATGAATTGCTAGTCCTACCGTTTTACTAATTCCTCATATTCCTAGGAAAGTCTGCTAGCACTTTTCTGACTTGGTTGAATGGGGAACTTTGTGAATCCAGGACGCAGGATCAGATCAACGACTTCTAACCATTGGGCTGCACGCCGCCACATTTTCAAACAGACTCAGTGGAAAAAAAACCTTGTGCACTAGTGGCGCTATGTTCTCATTGTTATTATTTTTCGAATTGGAAACTAATACAGTGAGAATGCAATCAAATTTAATGCAAAGTAGACTGTGCGCACTGATCTCAACGCGTACGACAAGAAAATAATCGCCCACTTCAGCTTCTATGCAGCATATCTCGATTCAAATAAGCTCTATGATCTTGAGTGGAAGCCAAAATTAAAAGGTCTTTGTCAACAAGATATGTTCTCGTATTTAAAAAAGCAAAATCCAAATTTCCTGAAGACCACGAAACGTATCAACTCCGCTTTTCTGTGTCACAACTCGTATTCCGAACACCGAAGTGATTCAACAACCGTGATTTCCTGGAAATGGGTGCGATGGTGTCCTCCAATGCACTGTTGCTTACGATCTTGCATCGGAAATTTCAAAGATTTAGATGAATTTAATTTTGGATAGTTTTGAAGATGGAAAGATAATTTATGGAAATCTTATAGACACCTATAAATATAAAGCGACAGAACAAAGTCTTTTCTATAGGTCTATTGAGCCTTAATCTCCTGAACTTCACTAGGCATCAAAAAATTTTTAGTAGTTCCAAAGAGCTGCCCAGCCCGTTCCGGTATGGACTAAACATGCAATGTGTTATTTGAAACTACTGCTAGGATTCGTGCCAAAACTGGTGGAGTCGGCCTCGACACGCAGCCCTTGTAGGATTCTCAGGATCACAGGATCGCAGAAATAAGCTATACACAGTACGCATGTGGTGCCTAACTGCCTCATCGGCATGAGTCAACGGGGAAAATTACTCAGATGCTAGAGGTGACAAGAAACCAGATGGACAAGAACCATGACGTCAATCTATCATTTCACAATGACTGGAGATCTAAACACGAAATTTAACATATCATGGAGTTAAACGGTTGATCTGTGTGGCCTTGCAACTACTTCCTCTTAATCGTTAATGTTTAGTGAATCGACTCTACAATCATTATCTATGAAACACTCCGGATGTACATTTCCAACAAAAGCTGAAGCAACACAAAATAAATTATTCCACATCAATCATTTTTGCCAAATCTAATCCTGAGAAAAATATGAAAGGACGCGATGAAGTATTGGATATGTCGGCCAATTGGCTACCAAACGTACCACCCTTTGCTCACGATGGAGCGGAAAAAGTTCGAAGGGTGTTTGTGATAGTGATGTCTATACAAAAGAAAAGTTAATCTATGGAACGCAAGCAAACTTCTGTCGAACTTCTACCATATTTCAATGCCTACCAGTGGGGAGCTCGATGACAACAGAAGTGACAAATTTGCTCCTTTACAACTCCACGTGGCAGCAGATTAATAAACAATGTCGGATTTAAGTATGAGAAACTGTCGATAGAAATGGTTTGAGCAATGTTTGAAGCTACCAAAGTGACTACCAAAGTGAAACAACCACGTGCACGAAAAGGTGTGTCACGGCTGAGCTTGTTCAATCAATACGAGGTGGAATGGCTGAGGCAAGGGTGGGTGGTGAACAACTGCTGGCATCAGGCACAGCTACTTGGTGCCCTTCAGCCCCATGTATCGGGTTCGTGCTTCCATGAACACCACTTAAGCAACCATCTAATCCCCTACAATACTCGTACATCGATTTCTGGCAGTGTGTTTTTCAAAGACATTTTCAGCCCATTATGCTTTATCGCCTCAAAATTGTGCTAAATGTTCCATAATGCTAAGCTCTGACATGATCTTGACTATATTCCATGGGATCTGTCGTACAAGCCATGAAGAGGCTCCAATTCCAATTCGGAACGTCCCCATTAGGTGGTTTATTAACAAAAATGTCTCGTAAGTTAGTTGCAGTGTTTAGGAGAATTAGCAGCAATACTTTGTTTAATTTATCCATACTGTTGTCTTCTCCAATTTTAATTGCAAAATATGAATGCAATGCATACTTCTATCCACACAGAAACGAATGCTAATGTAAACGAACAACAACAACTTATGAGTGACTTTTGAACAATCTATGAAATACTGTATTGGCCGTAGGTGAGTAACTCGTAAAGATACCATAGGCGGTTGGTGAAGAATTCCGATTCTACCAGGTATCGCAACCTTACTTGAGCAACGTCATGGACAACATACTCACTGCACCATAGTTTGTGCTTCGCATCGTCGGTATCACGGTCCTGAATAGGTCCAAGTGGAATGCGAACGTCATCCTCTATAAATCAATGGAGTACAAGCAAAAACGTTTTTAATCAATTGATGAAAGTTCACTTACATGGTGGCATAGGTTTGCTCGTCAGCTCTGTACCTTCCCAAGCCTAATGTACCTTTCGTTCCTTTATTAAACTTGTGCGCCAATTTGTCTTTCTCGTAAAGCACTCGAGAATTCCCAAACGCCACCTGCATGTTTACACCTCTCACATTTCATCATTTAATCGAACAACATCTACTTGTCAAAACAAGAGTCCGAAAGAATATTATACCTCAGCGAGCGGTAACAAGCCACAAAAGCGATGGTCACAGTATCACGGGGCCCCAATAGCAACATCAGTAAAATATATGCCCTTTCTGAATCTAGATACTACAAAGAGGACTCACGTATAATTCAAAAAAAAAGGAGAAAATTGATGCGCCGAACGCCGGAGATTTTAGGGAACCAAGAGTATATAATATAATACAAATCGTAATAAAACGCTATGACAATATAAACGCCAGAAGAGAACTAAATCTAGGAATAAATCTAGTTAAGTATAAATACCTGCCGGTCTAATCTCAGGAGGTGCGATGCGCAGTCCATGAGAGCGAATGAAGTAAACGTTGCAAACACTCGTACTCTGTCACGGTAACATCCTTAATGTTCAGTTCAACTTCCAACCCTTCATTTAAAAATTACCTATGGTGTATGAACAAAATAAAAGGCAAGAAGAGGCGAAGGCAAGAAAGAGAAGTGGAAATCACCTAATTTCTGACATCTTACCTGTTCCCAATTTCTTTTTAAAACGATTGCACTCAGATTCCTTGTACAGAGCACAAATGTTAAAAGCTTCGTAGCATGAGAACTTCTAATCCTACGAGAACGACGCAAATACGTGGAAATGATCTGAATTTGACACTGAAACCAAGTAAAATTCTCTGCATATGAATTGTGACATTTAAAAATGTGAAGATAAAAACAGAGTAAAAAACATGAAATGACCTTAAATTCCTTGTGATTGACGTTGACATGAAGCAATTTACAGTGCATCGCGTCATAAAGCTTGTCCACGAGCGGTTCCATGGTATTATTTTCATTAGGGGAACATAAAGCTTTATAGGATATCTGGACATCCTCAAGTGTTTCCAGAAGATGTAGTTTTTTTTTCATGGTCTTGCATGGACCTTACCAAAAACGGGGCACCGAACCTTCAATTATGGTCTGCTCAAACAGTTCTGACACTGAAGAGCACTAAAATCAAATAATGTTGTTATACCCACAGTTACGTGGAACAGCTGTGTAGTAGTTGCTGACGGCGAGTGCTAATGCAAGGGAGTGAAATCGTAGATCAGTCCAGTTTCCATTTCGATCCCGCGTTAGCTCTTCTGAAAGAAAAAAATTTTGCCAAAAAAGTTCAGTAAGTAGCCATAAATGTAATTACAACACAATGTTATCATAATTTCTAGACGCATTTCAATATTTTGCTCTCTAATCCATGGAGCACATTTTATGAAATAGGCTTAGCATTACCGTCCCAGGGGTATAAACAAATCTCCTAAAATGTTTTTTAAAGTCTTAAATTTTCCAAGTTTTTTCCTTCACGCAAAGCGGGAGGTGCAAACACCGATATTAGGACACCATCCTGTCGCATGACCAAGAAGTTAGGTCGATCCTTGAAAAGGTCCCAGCTCTCAACTAATCGAGAAGGGAATTCCTTCACATAAAACGCTCTATAGCGCGAGTGTAGCGCAGTGGTCGGACGCGCCCTGTAATACGCATGGGATCGACCGACGAGCCCCACGTCTACCAAGCCTTCTATCCTTCCGGGATCGGTAAATTGGTACCAGACTTGTATGGAAGGATAGCAGCACTGGCTCGATACATCGGTAGGCCACCGCAAGTCGTTGTAAAGGCCAGATACTCATTCAATCACCTCCGAACGATGCTTGATGAGGTCGAATGCATCGCGCGTCCATCTGTAACACAAAAACGCCGAGAGCTTTATCCTTTTTTTCAACGCTCTGTGTTATAATAGATCAATGAACGACCACGGAGGTTATATCCGTTACGTACTTATTCTGCTTAATTAACAAGATGAAAGAATTGAAGGAAAAACGATACGATAGGAAGCGGCTTCACAGAATTCCAGCGCTCGAAAGAAAAAAAAATTACAAAAAGATAACACATGAAAGGCAATTTATTTGTTCACAAAACTACATATGATTGTTATTTCACACCAAATCCAACTTTAGCAGCAGAATTCGTATTATTATTAACGGCGGAGTAATTTTGTGACCAAGACAGGATTTGATGGTGATCTATGAAAAGCCAGAAAAATATATATATACTACTCAATTGGAGTAAAATAACCACCAGCCGGTAACTCAATGACCATATCTAGATATGGTCGTATAATTGCTGCCGATACCGAGTAAATGGAACATGTTAGGTACCGACTGAAATCTTACCTAAAGACAAATTCGAGCAATGTCGAACTCAATGTCCTGATAGTGCATCCTCGTTAGATTAGCCATGTACACCATCAAGGAGTGAACACGCTGGTCCAGTGCTATAACTGGTACAAATCAACTTAAACGCTGCTGGGTTGTAGTTAACATCTAAAATGACTGGGATATTTTTTGCCTCCTTGAGTAGGTTCGACGTCGTTTTCTCCAGGAATAATTCGATCTAGTCCATAGCTTACCTAAACATATAAGCTGATGTTAATAAATCAATAGCCCAAAATAGTAGTTCCAAATTTCTCACCTCTACGATTGAATATTTTTCGAAAGATCGAAAGATGACTCTCTATGCGACGAACGTTCGTGCCATTCAAATCCTGTCTTTGCCTTAACTTTATTATAGAAAACTTTCTTGGCTTTCTCTAAATTACTTTCATAGCAGGACAGAGATAACTGTCCTCGATATCCTACTTGTCCATTTCGTTCCCAACCTTTAAAAATTTTAGCAGTTACTGAAACAATCAGATCAAGTGTTTCTGCATCTTTTCTTAGCAGCATCATATTTATGTTCTAGCAGAACTTCAAAGATGTAGTGAAATAAACCATTACCAGTAGTTCTCTTCTGAATCACTTTTGAGCAACTGGATGAGGCAGATTCTGTTGCAGTTCTTGAAAAAATTGGTCTGAAATGAGGTGTATTAGTTAAACAATTTAACAACTAAAAATCAAATACTAATATCTGATTCAGCATCACGTTCCATATCGTACTCAGCTCATCAAGCACGTGTACTTTAGCACGGAGCTCTTCGTTCATTTGAGTATCAGCAGCACAACGGCCCTTTACAGTAACTTTGACACGAGCATTGGAAACGGGCCTATAAAATTGATGTAAAAAATAACACCCCAAATACTCTCACACAAAAAGAAAGCTGGTGCTGTCTCCTCTCAAAAAATGCAGGGCTCCTTCACACTGTAGATACGGCCTAACGAGGACCAGAAATAACCACTTACGTAAAAATTTAGGAAGTCGTATTCCTGGCTTAAAGATAGGAACTCTGTTGCGCCGAATTGACTTTTAACATTCACGTGACTGTAATCCTGTTATGTGTATGGTATGGCATGCGTATCCAGTTAAAATCGTTCGAACCTCAATTGAGGGTGAAGTACAGAGGAGGCAGTTTGTCGTAGCTTCAGACGAACAGGTCCTCATGTGTATTACTAAATAGCTCAATGAAGCACCCCAGATCATACTCAGTCTCTTTCCATCCTCTGACAGATGCCTGGCGCTATATCTGTAGGTGATCTCGGCAAAAGAAGCACAAACAAAGGGAAAAGTACGGAAACCATTTTAGTGTATTCCGAGCAAACGCAGATCACTGAACAGCGCTAGGCGAGCGCTTGCTGCTGCCCTCTTGAATAATTAAGTTATTAACAGGATTTCAAATGATAGAAGTGATTAAGAAACCCATATCGGTCCATCAACATTACAAGAAGTTGATGGGCAATGCTAACGCTAGTAGAAAACGCAACGCAATGCCTTCGAACCTGACTAAGCAAGAAATAGTCCTGTTTTTGCCAAACGCGATATGATTGAAGTATAAACTATAGTCAATGTCACAGTCTCCTTAGCAAATGTGAAATAAATTGCGAAGAGAGAAATGAGTAGTAGATGTATATGAAAGGCAAATCTTTAAACACTTTAAGAACAGAACAGCGCCTAATTCTTGGCTCCACGCATTGTGAACTCAGATTAGTCCACGTTGGTCGATATTTCTCCCAGTGCTGGTCAAATATACCGTCTTCGTTAGCTGTAGTACTTATGAGTCGACGAACAAACTTGATCAAAAAAGTTTTCACACATTACTAAGTCAGAGAGTACCGTTTCTGTGCTCATACCGAACTAGCACGAAAACGATGTGCCTCATGAAAACCACCGCAGGAAAAACGAATCGAGATCGGTACGACCCACCTGCCTTTTAAGTGTCCTTTTCACTTGCTTTTCCGAAGAATTCGATGAAATCCTCAGCTATAGTGAGCGGAATCCTCTACGCAATCGGGATGTTGGCCCGCACAACGCAGAGCTCTGGGAGGACTTTTCAGTCTCAAATGTGAATGCAGGACTTTCGGCCCTTCAACTTGGCTATTTTGAGAGGTTCAAACGCTGCTCATGCAACTGTCCTTCTTCTGTGCAGTTAATTTGTCATGTTGTCAACCATGTTTATCGAGCGCTTTGCTTTCCTTTTCTGCTTATTCCTTCTCCACATTATTGCCACTATCCATTCACTTCCTCCCAACGGTCTACCGCCTCATCGTGGGCGGGAGGTGCTCCTGGGTGTCGGACGGCGATGAACAGCGGGGAGATTCGTCCTGCCTGCAGAGTGTCGCCCAAGGTTGGAAGGAGTCTGGCGCTTTCTTCAGGAAGCTTAGCTAAGAGTAAACCAGTACCAGGATCCACCACCGGTATCAAAGTCGCATGGTAGTAAATATCCCTCTGATCAACAAAGGTTGCGACTGCCTGCCGTGTTGACGACCTGGGGCAGACCTTGACCAGGTTATCCTTGGGATTCCAGGGAACCACAATGGTTTAACCAGAAAACCTCCGAAAAATGGTGATTATGTTGGGGTCCGCCCAACTAGTGGTGACGGGCCGTTCAAGTTCAAGTATCAAGTATTGAGTATCCATCCACATCCACGAAAATTTTCTTACCACATTATTGGCAAAAGAGAACCTTATTGGGAAAGTCATCCCC